CTCGGCGCCACCGCGGCGGGGCGGAACCAACAACGCGGGTAGGGGCGTCCGGCCGAGGCGGGCTTAGGTGGCGCCGCACGCCGGGCCCGCTGCGGCCAGTGTTCCGGCAACTGTGCGCCCAGGTAAACAGCTGCACGACGCCCCGCCGCTCTCCCCCTTCCTGGGCCCGCGGGGCAGTCCCTGGCCGAGCCACCTTTGACACGCGCGCGGCGCGGTGGGTACTCAGATGACCGAAGGCAGCTTCCCACCACCCCCGTCCGTGGCTCTGGTGCCTGATTTTGGGGAAACTAATCTGAGGGGCTGGTGAAGTGAAGGGCTGGGCAATTCCTCCCCAGCCGCAGGCTTTTGCAATGCACAATAAACAGAGAGGCACAATCAAAAGGAAATTCCAGTGTCTTTATTATGGAAAACCAGGCCGCCGCCAACTGGCTGGGGGAGCCGGTCGGAAGGTTAAGAAGAAAGCTCAACCCTACCCGGGTGTTTTCCCTTTAGGCTCCACCGCACTCAGGGTAGTCTCTACCGGACCCCTTCCTCCCAGTCTCCACGAGATCGCGGGGTTATTCAATACTGTCTCAAAGAGAAACTCCGCGGCCTCTCCCTGGAACCAGTAAGTAGCCAAGTTAGGCAGAGACTTTATGAAGGCCACAGACCAAGGCAGAAGGGCCTAAAGAAGCAAGGTTCTTTAGATGGAAAATCTTAGCGCTGCCTCTGCACCGTGGCATCTAATGTTAGGGTTGAAGCTAGTGTAAGTAGCTGTGTAGGTGGCTAAGAGGAAACCACACACGGGTGGACAGCAGCTGACACGCTGACCGGCGGTTTTTCCTTCACTGTACGCCATCGCTCCCCTTCCAGTAACACTTGCCCACAGTGCTAGGAGCCTTGCTGCAGGATAACTGACAATTCCCTGGATGCCTCTTTAAAATCAGAAGCAGCACCCAACCCAGCCTCACAGGGGAAACATAAATAAAAGGCCAAAGCCTCAGGCAGGGCTTGTGATTAGAGAAGGGGCAGGGCCTCCCAGGGGCCTCGGGCAGGCAGGGGCCCCCCTATTTGTCCTTCTTGCTCTCCTCAGCAGGCGCTGCAGTGGGGGTAGGGCTCACAGGCTGCTCCTCTGGGATGTTATCTCCTGTCTTAGATAGCTTCTTGGCCCGCTGATAAAGCTCATTCAAGTTGAATTCTCGAATCACGTTCTCCTGTATAAAAGAGACTGCACAGTCAGGGTTCAGGGTGGGAGAGATCAGAGCCTGGGCAGGAAGGAAGATGTACTAGGAAAGGAAGAAGATGTACTAGGAAAGAATGGAAGTCTGCTTCACCCTAACTCTTCTTGCACGGGTACCTGGAAGTCAACTAATACTTAAGTACATGCTACACGTACCAATCACTGTGTCTTAAGTGACCACTACATGATTTAATCTGTAAGACCTGACTGTGAGCCTCGTGTCACTGTCTCCAACTCACTGCTAAGGAGCCTCAGGCCCAAAGGCCTTTGAAACTGCACTTAGTGACATTCCCCAGAGAGTATGGAGGTCTTCCGAGGAACCTCACAGTGAGGTCTAACAACTAGTGCCCACTCTCACAGCTCGCAGGCAGAGCCAGGACTCAAACCCAGGTGGAGCCCCAAAGCCCCCCCACCATTCCACACCCTTCCCCAAAACACCTGCTCACTCCTCATGTACCTCAGAGAAAGTCCAAGATACGGCTCGTCCTTTCTTGTCAATCTGCGGCCGCCGCATGACCTCCTTGCCACCCTGGAACAGGATCAGGGTTGGGAGCTGCTTGGTGAGGGGCGATGTACTCACTTTGTACCTACAAGACCCAGAGAACACTCTGTAAACGCATCTGTAGGTACAGCACTCAAAGGGGTCCCCCGCCCGGGCCCTTACACACCTTGTACTAACGTCAGTGTAGCGTCCGACATCCACCTTCCCGAAATTTAGCCCTGTACAGTTGTACCTGAGAAGAATGTATTATATTTAACACGCCCAGAGGCTGGAGAATGGACCAAGAGAAGAGAAAGCACAGCTTTTTGAGGAAAGAAGAGCATGCCTTTCTTTGGCTGCCCCATGCAAAAGGCCAGAGACAATGAAAGGGCCATTGCTACTCACTTGAGAGAGAGATCAGCGTAGATAGGAGCAAAGGACTGGCAGTCATTAGACCAGTTGGCAAAGAACTCCACGATCCATGTGACCCTCTTGTCCCGCTCCAGCTCTTCCTGCCACACACAGAAGCAAAAGTGAGAAAGCTGAGGCTCAGAGCCCTCTTCCTGACGCCCCCCACCGCAGCTCCCTCACTGAACCACAGGCCGGCAACTTCCACTCTGAGGCAACTTCCACTCTGAAGTACGCTTCCCCTCCTAGTGAGGAGAGCGCACAACCACGAAGTCACCCCCAGGGACCCAAGAGGGAAGGGAGGACCAGCACTCACATCGATGGTTTTATCACTGAAGTACTTGATGTACTCAGGGCCCATATACAGAGGGGGTTTGCACGTCATCAGGAACACTAAACAGAGAAAAGATGTCACAGGAAACATGCAAGGCTGGGGAAGGGGATTTACTTTCAAACTGACTCCAAGGTGTCAGGCACCAGCCAAAGAATATACAAAACCACAGACACATTCCGTTTAAAACAAACTCTGCTGCCCTGCACAGGTGCAGGTGTTAGCACCTGAGCCACACACAGCTAACTGGCTACCAGACAGGGAAGCGGGTGGAGACACTGGTTGGGGACTGGATGGTTCCCACACCCAGAGAGCCGCCTTACCGATGCACAGTGTGATGTAGAGCAGGCCCATGCGAATATCCAGGCGGAAGAAAAGAATGGCATTGGCCACTTTACTGAACATGAAGATGTTGCCAATATGCTGCTCCACGGTGACTGAAACACAAAGACACTGGAGGTCGGAGGTCAGCTGGGCTGCCCGCTTCTATCTTGTCCTTCGGGGAGCACTTTGAAATGGGAGGGCAGGAGGAGGGGCCCGCACTCAGCCCTGGCGCAGAGGGCCCAGGTCACTTTATGCTGCCCCTCTCCCCACATGAACGGAAGCGCCTGCGGCGGAGGCAGGCCTGACTGGGGCCTGAGAAGCTGCACTTACTCGATCTGCGGTTCTTCATCATCACAATAGCACTAAGGAACATGAGGATCTCCACTTCTCTCTGCAAGAGTCGGGGTGACAGAAGTGAACTGAAGGACAGAGTTGGGCGGAGTTGGGTGGAGAGGCCAAAGATGGAAAAATACCCAACAGAGCCACAGACCAGGGCCAGTCACCTTGAGTGAGTGGGTTTCCTTTGCTCCCAGGCATACACAGCAGACTCTCGCCTCCCTGCACCGAGGGGGTGGAACTGCAGGCTAGCCCTCCTGAGGGGGCAGTGAGTGCAAGCGACCTGCCAGTGCTGTGTCCAGACAGTTAAGAAAATGAGTGTCTTTCATTCCTGCCCTTTCTTCATTTGCTGGCTGGACCCTGGGATGGCAGTGAGGTGACAGGTGGAAGACAGAATGTGACTGGCTTCCAGAATAACTACAGGATACAGAACCTCCTTGGTTGATCTCTGCCTTTTTTGTTGTTAATTTTTTAATCTTTTGGTATGGAAAACTTTGAAACATATACAAAAATAAAAAGGATATGAAAGGGTAACAGAATATGCCACACCGAAATACATGATTTTGGCATCAGGATTATTTTGAGCTTGAAGGAAACCAAGAAGCAGATATAAGAAAATCTCACTCTATTTGTCTAAAGGCAGGACATGAATCTTTCAAAGGTTTCCCACCAATCTGCTATACCAAGGACAAAAATTCATCAGAGGAGACAGCCTGGAAAGAGAGAGAGGAATCTAAATAACAGCTTGCCTCTATCAGCCTTTAGTTTACCTTTCCACTTCCTGCCCTTGGGAGCCTAAAGCTTCTTTGTCCTCTCTTGTCACGTCTCCACAAATGTACTGTTCTTGTTGAAGATGATTTATTTCTGTATTTTTTTAAGATTGATTTATTTGTGCATACAGAACTGGGGTACAGGTCAGAGGTGAGGGGATGAGAGGATTCACCAGAGACAAGAGTGGGGAGCAGATCAGGTAGATCAACTGAAATACACTGCTGAGGGGAGCAGTGGGGGGAACCAGAGCAATTGGGTCAGCAACCTGGTCAGGGATTGAACACGTGCTTGCAGTGGTTCGGGACAGCCTCATAGTGCTACGCTTTAACCGGCTGCACCACCAGGGAAGGCTCTGAAGATGACTTATAAGCCAGAATGCAAAGCCACTTCTTTAAGTATCTCCATTTACACATAAGTTATATATGTTAACAAACTTCTGTTTGTCTTTTCTATGTCTTCTATTACAGGGGCTTCATCAAGACCTCATGGGGGCAGAGGGAAAATTATTGTTCCTCCCTGCAACACTTCAATGAATCCCTGTTACTCAGCTTCATGAGTAATAGTTCACCAGTGTGGTTCTATTTCAGCTATCCCACCTGCCTGTTTAGCCATAGAAACTTAAAAGCAAATTCCAACTATCTCATTTCACCTGTCAATACTTCAGTTGTCTCTTTTGCAGGTATATATATATCTTTTTTAAGACAAATCAAAACACCACGCCTGACGGGAAAATGAAAAAGACAAAAATTCCGATAACCGTTCTTCCGTAGTGCACAGATGTTGTATTACAGCAGAGGGCATAGAATTTAGAATAAATTTCTGAATGGCCCCTCCAGCTCCTATCCTGGAAGTCAGAGCCAGATTTCTGTCCTGTTTTAAAATTCCTAGTCAAAGAAACCCAACGACCTTAATTCATTTTTGTTACTCCATAATTATGCATAATATCTAGCAGATCAAGGTGCACTCTGGAAATGTTAACTGAATAAATAAATGGCAGTTAGAGTGTTCACGAGCTATGATCAGAAGAGTCACGTCAAGTCCCAGTTACTCCTCAGTTGTGACATTGGGCAAGACGCCTAGCCACACCGATATACCGGTTTTTTTCATCAATAAAACAGGATTACTGTGTGTCCTGTCTGCCTCACTGGTTCCTCTGGAGACTGGACATGAGCATCACTGCAAAACACTGTAGAGGTGTAGTTTGGGTCGGGCTGTCGACAAGTATGGATGGGGAGCCGGGCAGGACCCTGGACCTAAGAGCCAAGTTAACCTGTCTTCCCATGCTAAACACAGGTTCATTCAGACTCGGTGGCGGTCCAGGCCCTCCACGCTAACAGTCTAAGTCCGCTACAGACTCGGAACGTCAGGTGTCCGCAAAAAGGTGACCCTCAAGGCTCCCAGACGGAAGCTCCGGGGCAGGGTTACAGAGTGCCAAGGCGGGGTCGCTCACCCAGTCAAAGTCACACGGGTTGCCGTCTTCGCGCTGCGTGGGGAGACTGCTGCAGAGCGGGGGCACCTTTCTCACCAGTAGGAAGGCAGCAGAGAGCAGGGCTGACAAGAGGTAATAAGGTCGGGCCAGCCATCGTGAAAGTCGCGGCACCGAGTACACAAGAGCGATTAGAGGTGCCAGGACCGCCATCTTGCCGGCCCGAGCAGCGCCCGCCGCAGGTCTGGCCCCGCCCCCCGCCGAGCCTGCTATTGGGCCCTGTCTCGGGTGCCCCGGCGCAGGCCCCGGAAGTCGACCTCTTATTGGGCGCTCCTGTGTGAACGGACAGGGAATTGAGGCTTTATAGGTCACTCTAGCCGTCGTTTTTTCCACCTAAGTCATTTTATTGGATATGGGAGTGTGGCTAGCGGAGATGTCAGAGACTACGAGGAGGTTAGACGAAACTTCCGGAACGTTTTCATAAAGCGACGGAAGTAGCTGCCGGAAGGAGGTAGGCGGGGCCAGAAGTACCCAATTCTGAGCGGCTCCGGGAGGACGGGGGCGGTGCCGCGTGAAAGGACTGGCCAATGAAAACCGTCAGCGCCAGGCCCGGGACCGCGCTGGGGCCGAGGGGACGATGGAGAATTTCACCGCGCTGTTTGGAACTCAGACTGACCCTCCACCGCCTCCAAGCGCCCTCGGCTTCGGGCCAGGAAAACCTCCGCCCCCTCCTCCCCCTCCTCCGGGCGGGGGACCCGGCACGGCCCCGCCCCCCACCGCGGCCTCGGCACCCCCCGACAAGTCAGCGGCTGGTTGTGGGCCGTTCTACCTGATGCGGGAACTGCCAGGTAAGTGCTAGGCCTGGCCGAAGCCAGCCCGTCAGGCCCGAGTGAGGGGATGGGCGGGCTCTCGGCGGCGTGGAAGTGCGAGTGACCAGGGCAGCGCGTGCCAGGACCGGGGGCCGCGGCTCTGCGGGATCACGGCCAAAGGGTCAACATCAGTTCTTGGGGTGGATTGGGGAGAGAATGCACCTTCGTGACTGTCGCAGTGTGCCTGGCCACTGACACTGGTGCTGGTTTATGGCTTCCCAAATATGTATGGGGCTTTGATTTTGAAACTCGAGAGCACCTTGATTCAGCATCTCTGTGTCCCTAAGGTTTTATTTTCAGTTGTGCCCCAGACTTACATTTGGCTTGGTGCTTGGTTCCCTCCTCAGGGCTGCCGTGTTTCCTCATCTGTTGGAGGACGTGGTGAGACTTGACCCAGTCTTTCATTCAAAACACTGTTAAGTTGCACATCAAGCACTCTTTTAGATAAAATTAATGAGATCCTGTCTTTTGGGCGTTTACATGTCAGAAGAGGCAAAAATTAAACAAGGTGTCAGATGGGGGCTAGTTCTGTAAAGGGAACATGTGATAGGGATCAAGTGATCAGAGAAGCACTCTGATTGTGAGCTGAAAAGTAAAGGTTAAATCTGCATGGAACTGACTGGAGAAATTACAAATGCAAGATTAGTTTTCAGAAGAGGAGTCAGGCTGGAAGAAAGATCTGTAAATGGTCTTCCTAAAACTAATAATTAAAACAGAAAAGTTGGGTGGGCTCTTAAAGCCTTTAGAAGCACAGTGTGGGGCCTCCCTGGTGGCCCAAGGGGTTAAATCCCAACACTATGGTCCCTGCAGCAGTTCCATCCCTGGGTAGAGAGCTGACCCACCTGGCGCAGCAGACCTCTCCTGTCTCCCCACTGTTCCCCACTCTGTGGGTGAATCCCCCTGCATCTCTGGCCTACACCTCAGCTTTTGTGTGCATAAATAAATAAATCTTTTTAAAAAAAGAAAGCAGAGCATTCTAACTCACCTGAGCCTTAGCATAACCACTTGGAGAAAGGAGCGCTGACGGGGGGAAAAATCAGAATACTATAATGGTTGGAGGCAATGCAGAGGTGAGAAAACTGGCGCTGAGTCTCCTGCCATGACAGTAGGCCACTCTTCTGAGACACTGGGGGTGGAAGGAAAAGGGCAAGGGGAGACAGCATAAGGCCCAGAGGGATGGTGGAGTTCAATCCCCAGCCAGGGAGCTGATCCACATGGCACAGCAGACCTCTGCTGACCCTCCCGCTTCTCTCCTCAGTCAACCTGTTCTGCTCCCCACTCTGTCTCTG